TTTTTTATGTATTTATTTTATTTTATTTATTTTATTGTCATCTACTTTGTCTGCGAAAAAATCCGATCCAATTGTCTTTTTATTGTAAAAAATTTTTTTTTTTCTTTTTGTTGCTCAGTTCATTACCACTGATGAAGATCCAATCCAGGGATCGAAACGTATGGTTATATTAAATATATTGATTTAAACACACTTCCATCCAGTGTACTTCTCGTATTGGCCTTAACCTTGTTTACTTAATATGAAAACATATCATTTTTTTGTAAAAAGTGAAACTAATTGCAAAATTGTAAAATAGTAGTAATAAAAGTTCTACACTTTGTTGTAGATTATTACTAACTTACAAATGTCAGATAATTATACGTATAAGAAAAATACTTGCCTACTGATAGCTTTCCAGTCAGGATAGGAGTAACATTACCAGTTGGTACAACTGGTTCGACATAAAATACACCTTTTTTACGCCAGTAATTGAACACCACAAACTTGTAATACACATATACAGAACACAGACCAACGACAAAAGCAGTTATTAACCCTACAAGTAACATTTTGCTCTTCTCGCTGTATTAGTATCCCTAATTATATCCAAAACAGAAAAAAAATATACACAAATTGTTTGTGTTCATTATATTATCCCGAAAAACTGAGCATCAGAAAATAAATGTCACGCGATCAAAGCAAATTGATGTTATTCGTTTGTTTGAAAACTACTGGAGAATGATGATGTCGCAAAAAAACTGAAGTTGAATAATATCGAGAAAGTTAATTTATAGATGTGATCTTATCTAACACTCAGTCACATTATCTGATTATAAAAAAATACTCTCAGTCTAATCATATTACATACTGCTTCTTTATCTTATATTCCAACCTTGCTGTAAGGATAGCTTGGGTTTTTAGGGTTATCTCGTAAATCAGGCACAGTCACAGAGGGTAAAGAAAAGGATCTCCCGAGTAATCTTATTCTAACCTTTATTGCACATTTGTTACATGGCTTCTCTTTTTTTAACACAGACTGCTCTTCTACCAGAGAGCCTCGCACCTCGACGCACGCAGTCACGTGTTCCCCGCTGCGCTTAGCGCCAACTAGGGGACGACTCGCAAGCCGGCGGCGCTGTGGTCGCTCCGTCAGCCAATAGGCGACGAGCAAGTTGCCGCCCGAACACAAATGGCGGCGCGTAACCCACGTACCGTTTACAGCATCGGCCATTCCTGACAAACGCATTCGTCTCGAATGTTCGACTTAACTTAAAAAAAACTCAAAGACCCGGCGGTTTGACAAAGAAAACTACATAAGTAATTATTACACTGAGAACGCCGCAGCAACCTGTCTGTGACCGCCTACAATGAACTAAACATAATGATTACTCAATAACAATGAATATAAAATAAGACAAAAGAAACTGCTGTACTACAGGGCGCAAACATCAGCGCTACGAGCTTACATATAAAAGATACAAAGTATCTTAAAGCGTATAACTGTAAAACTAGCGCTTCTTTTTGTTGTACATACTTTCTAAAATAAAACGAAAATAATAAGCGCATAGAACTTTTTTTTTTTCTTTAAAAGGAACTAAAAACACAAATCAGTGTACACTAATGCTGAAAATACGAAACTATACGGTGTGGCTTACTTAAAAGAAAGTAACTCCTCAGGAAGGAGGTCCAACGGGTTTAACCCACGGTTTAATTCGATCAGTTGACAACACGGAATTATATGGTCTCGACGTATGATTAAAGCCAGGTATATCCTGGACAACATACCTGTTTTTATTTAACGTTTTAGTTACAACGTAGGGTCCCTTATAAGCGGGTTTTAACTTTTTGTGCTCACCTGTTTTAAGTGTAGAATCTCTAATGAGAACGTAATCGCCTGGTTTGTACAGTGTGGGTTTCTTATGTCGTTCGTCATAATACACTTTGTTATATTGTTTAAGCTTATTTGTGGCCTCGACGGCTAACTGACGGGAAACGTCTCGGTCCCGCTCAAAACTTAATTCTACTTTAACAATATTATTTAATAAGCGCACTAGACTTGCGTCAGAGTGGTTGCGCATTTCCACGCCGAACAATACTTTAGCTGGAGTGGCTTTAATCGCGGAATGATAAGTATTATTGATGACGTACTGAATGGTGCCTACGTGGGAACTCCAGGCTTGGTCATCTTCTATGACCTTTCTCAAGGAGGATTTTAAAAACCTATTAATCCTTTCAGCCAGGCCATTGGCTCAAGGAGCTGCCACAGCTATCTGTCTATGTACAACATTACGATGCTGGACAAAGTCTGTAAATTCCTGAGAGGTAAAGGCTGTGCCTCTGTCCGATATGAGGATCACCGGATTTCCGAAATTTTGGAATAGATACGACAAGTGTTTGATCACCTCGCGTGATCCGGTCGATCTAGTCGAAAAGAGCCAGGTATACCTAGAAAAGAAGTCGACTACTAACAGAACATGTTTAAAACCTTCAAGCGACTCTGCTACTGGACCAAAATACTAGATATTGAAATTCGAAAATAAGTAGAAGTTTTTTCATTAACAATGTGTGTGAAACAATAAAAACTTGCCACTTAGCAAAGAAGAAAATTAATAGACGTAACTATATAACGTAATAAAAAAGTCTAAGAAAATGGTAAACCTATCAAATTTTTACAGTATAAGTAAAACAATGTAGATATAAAATAAATAAAATATTAATTTTTAATCGATAACGCAAGTTTGATTACGAAACAAAAAACTATAAGAAGATCATGAAGATACGTAAATAAAAATTAAGACTAATTAAAGCCCGATTTTTTCATATCTCCCGATAGCAATCTTCTGGATAAAGATACACAAAAAGATATACTTTATCTTTCAAATAAAGTTATCGAGAACTTATCTGAAAGTGAAACAATAAATAAATATCGTTGTGTGTAATACTATATGTTCTAAATCATTGTTTTTTAATGTTTTGTATATCACAAGAGTATTTTTATGCAATAGAACAAATGCAACAATAACTGTATTATACAACGTAGCAATATAACAAATATATAAAATAAGTAGACAAAAACAGCTTATAGATACTTAGTTTCTTTCTTTCTTTATCTATCTAATGGAATTGATTTATTGCTCCGCAAACTGTATGAAGGCAGTCGGCGACATAGATCTAGCGTATAAGTGGGATCAGTTTGATTTAAAGATACTATGTAGTTTAGAAATTCTGCTTGTTATCTAAGTTTAATCTAATAACGTTATATTATTGGCAATAAATTGTGAAACCACTTGTCATTATTATCGTTGCGCCAACAAAACCGATAAAAGATATCATTTGTAGGATGATTCTGCATATATAGATTATCAATATTAATATTACGTTAAAATATATATATTTTTTTTATTTAATGTGTTTTGCACAACGATAGAGCAATTGTAATTGATAGTTACAAAATAGACGTATGTAGGTTAAACGCGGTTTTAAAAAGCGCAAGTGTTTCGTAGCGGTTCAATTACAAGAGGTACACCGCCTTCGGGAGTAAGTATAACAGGAGCTTTGTTGAAGATCGGTGGCACCGGAGTTCGGGGATGAAGTTTAACTTTAAATTTTGATAAAACATTTAGGATTCCAACTTTCGCCATCAGATAACCGAGACGTGTACCTGAAAAATATAATACGGAACTTTTTAAATTGTTCACATTTCTTAGTCATGTTATTTACATACAGTAAAACTCTGACATGAGTAATTTCAAACGCATGTGACCTACTTTTTCTTTTTAAAAATCAAAATTAAGTTTTTTTTTTCTAGAGTTAATGACTACACCTAGAAACAAGAAAAAAAAAGATATCTCTTTCTTTTTCTCTGAGATTCTTAGAGTGAAAATAAACGCGCATTCTACTGCTGCGCGGTCAAGAATTGAAGAAATTGAGGAATTATCAATAGCGGAAGAAAATAGTGGTCTGCTATATACCGACAAAGTTTGTGATGCTCGAACTTACTGGAGTTTTACTATATAACTTTACAAGCTCGAAAAATACGAATAATGTAGAAACACTTTTAGATATATTCGTTGATTTTACTAATTTTTACCGATACAAGTTCGCGGTCCTTCCCCAAATGGCAAGAAAGCGTACGGATGCCTGGCCGCTATTTGATCCGCGTTGAATCGTTCGGGATCAAACTTATCCGGTTCCGGATATATCGCCGGATCTCGATGTATGCCGAGCACCGGTATAGTAATTAAAGTTCCTTCCGGTATGTGGATATTTGTCGGAAGGTTTATAGTTTTGGTGCATATTCGATTCAGCTGTGGTAAAGGCGGATATTTTCTCAAAGTTTCTGCACAACACGTAAAGTAGAATAAAAACCTGTGATTTATGGTTTGCTGTCAAACATGTTTATTTAAACAGAGCAAACTTATATTTTTACAAAAAAAAAAAAACAACTTTACCATTTACTACTTTATGAAGATATGTCATTTCATTTACGGCATTGTAAGTCACTTCTCCGTGTTTATTTAGTATTTCATCAATTTCTTGTCGAAGCTTATCTTGTATGTTTTGATTTATGGCTAATTCGTACAAACAGTACGTTGCCGTAGTTGATGACGTTTCAAATCCAGCAAAAAAGAAGACAAAAGCTTGTGCAGCCGCTTCTATCATAGAAAGTTTACTCATAGTCGCTGTCAATAAAACGAAACATCATTCTATTTAATAATCGCATAACAGTTATATGTTTAATATTGAACGTTAAATTGTATTTACGAGGCACATCATTCTTTTGGGAGGCTTCTTTCTTTTCGTCAGGTTCGATATAGCCGTTTTCCATAAGTTGTATAAGTAGATTCATAAAATCGTGCCTGACGACATTGTGAGTCTTTCTGTATTCCGCATTATCCCGAAATATATTTATAAAAAAATTCGAGACACCCCGCTTGAAAATAGGGATAGAAAACAACTTGGCAAGTGAAGGTGCAAACAAAAAAATGGTATTTTTAGGAGAACTTATTTCAAAGATTTTTTTTCCCCAGTATCGAAATTCGTTATCCAGTTGTCCTATGCAGTTCGATTTGATTCCAAAAGCAGCTGCCATAATTATGTCTATTGAATACCTATTGTGTAAGTATTTGTAGTATATATAACACTTTTAAAGTTAATATATATAATATTTTTATAAGTTTTTAGTTGATTAGTTCTAAGTGTTTCACGAACTTTATTACTTCTTTTTAAAAACTAGTATTTTTAAAAACTAGTACCTTGAAAATATTTCTTTTATGTCAATGCATTCTTTTGTCTCGGCCATTTTTTCCAAAGATTTCGCGACTTCTTCACTGCAATCTTTCAGAACTGCGAACATCTGCTTCAATTTTCCCGAAGTAAAAGTAGGAGTCAATTTAACGCGCAAATTTCTCCATTTTTTTCCCGGAAATACAAACAAGTGTCCGGATAGCGGATCTGTTTTCTCGTTATAATATATTCCGCGATCGTGAAAACTACCGAATTCTTTTGTCAGCACTATTCGGACAAGATCGAGATCGGAAATCACAAGATTCGGTCTGTAAAATGTATATATTCCGAAAACTCGATGGTCCTTATATTTCAAGTACATATCGCGAAATAGTTCGCCTGTAATAATAAATTTCAAATTAAGTTGTACGTTACAATTTATACGTTTCGTTAAAATGTAATCAAAGATACATTGAGAAAAAACAAAAAATTTGAATCAAGAAAATCTTTTAAAACCTTTCAAAATCTTTGTTATGTTTGTCAGCTGTTAAAACTCAATTTAATGTAAATAATCATTTTGTTTTATTGCACTTGATTTAATTTTGCATTTAACAAATACAGCGTTATCGATTTATAAAAAAGCTTGAAAAAACAACTTCAAATGATAATCGATTTCAAACTATAAATATATTCTTTTGATTTATTCCAGTATTTTTTTTTTTAGTGTATATATAATAGTATATATATAATAAGACAATATCTGATTTTTTTCTTATAGAAATTTTTTTTTTATAGAAGCCAAATGCAAACTTGTGAAAAAGTAATAATGAAAGTTCTATGCTTTTTTATATCAATTAAAACTTACAAATATAAGATATTTATATATATAAGTAAATATTACTTACCTATTGATACTTTTCCAGTCAAGAAAGAAATCGCATTACGAACTTGTTCAACGAGTTTGACATAAAATACACTTTTTTTGCGCCAGTAAGTGAACAATACAAACTTGTAATAAATATATACACAACAGAAAACAACGACGAGAGCAGTTATTACTTCTAAGGATAACATCTCGCTTCTTTTTCAATAATGATAGTCGAAAAAAAATAATAATATATCTATATTATCTTGTTAATTGTGATCATTTATATTTTTCCGTCAAAACATAAATGCTTCGACAAAGTGGTCAAAGCAAGTGTTATTTGTTTGTTTGAAATACTGAATACTGAAGAATGATAATGTCTCAGAAATACTGAAGTATAATGTCGGGAAAGTTAATTTATAGGTGTGATCTTATCTAATTTTCTCGGTCATTTTATCGGATTATAAAAAGATAAGTATCATTCTATTTATATTACATACAGTTTATTTATCTCATTTCAAAATCATTTTTAACTTCTACAGGAATAAGTAAATATATCTGGATAATGAAATTCAAAAATTTTAGGCATTTTTCTACTTAAAAATGTGTGTGAGGAACGTTAAAGACTTGCTACTGGCAAGTAAACCAATCTATGAGTGTGTTATCATTTATATATTAGTTAATGTTATAATTACTTACGTATTATTACTATATACCAAGCACACATACATATGTCCAGTATGAAAATAAAACTACATGTCACGTTACATCTTAGGATCAAATAGAAAAGTAATTGATGTAACTAAATAACGTAGTAAAAAAGTTTAAGAAAATGTTTTAACTTACATGAAATTTGTATAATTAATTAAAACAACGTAAATATAAGATAAATACAATATTAGTTTTCAATCGATAACGCATTTTTGATTACAAAACAACTAAAGAAGTATAAAAAAATAATAAAAAAAAAAAAACGTAAGTATAACATTTACGACTAACGCACGATCTCTTTATATCTCCTTACAGATGTCCTCTAGATAAAGATATATAAAAAGATATACTTTATCTTTGAAAAAAAATTATCGAGAAGTTATCTGGAAGTAAAGCAATTGGGCATAAATAAATATTGTTGTATGTAATACCATATGTTCTGAATTATTTTTTTTCAATGTTTTGTATATCACAAGAGTGCTTTTATACAATAGAACAAATGCAACAATAACTGTATTATACCACGTAGCAATATAACAAATATATAAAATAAGTAGACAAAACGGCGTATAGATACTTAAAGTATCTTTCTTTCTTTATCTATCTAATAAAATTGATTTATTGCTCTGCAAACTGTAAAAAAAGCAATTAGCGATATAAATCTTGCACGATTCATATATTTGTATCGATTTAACTCTAATAATAAAAGTGTGAAAGATTCTACGTAATTTAGATCAATTATGCTCGTTATCTGATTTAAGTCTGGCGTAATATTGTTGGCAATATAAGTTGAAACCACTTTGTATTACAATCGGTAACAAATTCAATAAGAGATATCATTTGTACGATGACTCTGCAAATACGTATATATATATTATCAATAATGGTAGTACGTTATTGATAACATGTATATATATATGTATGCATAATTATTTTCTGATTTAAACGTTTGCTTGACGATACCGCGACATTGTTATTAATAATTACTAAGGAAGTTTAAGACTCTTAAGTTTCAAACTGTGCGAGAATTTAAACAGTCATAAGAGCTTTACGCTGGATGTTTGTTGCGAAATAATTATATGTACCGATTCGAATCCGGTTATCACTTTCTGATGTTTACCGAGACGGTCATTTTCAATCGAATAAATCGATTGATTAGCGAACTGAATCAAGCCTCCAATCAGCTTGAATTGGTTGTGAAAGATAGAGAAGAAAAATGTAAGATTGAATGTAAAAGAAAGTTTGCAACACTGAGGGGAATCGATAAAAATTTCTTTATTCTTGGTATTAATAGTTACATAATTGATCTGCGTAGTTTACCCGCGGCTTTAGAGTGTGTTATCGCGGTTCAATTATAAGATGTACACCGCCTTTAGGCGTTAATATAACAGGCGCTGCATCGATACTGAGTGGCACCGGTGTTTGGGGATGCAATTTAGCCTTGAACTTTGATAAGAAATTTAAGATACCAACTTTTGTCTGCATATAGCCAAATCGTGTACCTGACAATTTAAAAGCAACACACAGTTTTTCATATTTTTTGTATTTTTAAATTATGTTTGAAACAATGTGTATGTGTATTATACATGTACAATTTTAATAAGCTCGAAACCTACAAATGTTTTAGACAAATAATTTAAAACACTTCAATTATTTTTACTAGACCTTACCGATACAAACTCGAGGTCCTTCTCCAAATGGCAAGAAAGCGTATGGATGCCTAGCCGCTATTTGGTCTTCGTTAAATCTTTCGGGATCAAACTTATCAGGATCCGGATATATCGCCGGATCTCGCTGTATACCGAGAACTGGTATAGTAATTAAAGTTCCTTCTGGTACGTGAATCTTTGTTGTTGGAAGGTCTAAAGCTTTGGTGCAGATGCGATTCAGCATTGGCAGAGGTGGATATTTCCTAAGAGTTTCTGTATAAAACGCGAAACAACATACTACCTGTAGTTTCTCACACATGTTTCTGTAAAAGAGCAAACTCATATTTTTCCAAAAAAACCATAAACTTACCATTTACTACCTTATGAAGATAGGTCATATCGTTCACAGCATTGTAAGTTACTTCGCCGTGTTTTTTCAGTACTTCATCAATTTCTTGACGAAGCTTATTTTGTAAATCTTGATGTAGCGCTAATTCGTACAAACAGAACGTCATAGTGGTCGAGGAAGTTTCGAAGCCAGCTAGGAAAAAGACGAATGCTTGCGCAGCCGCTTCCAACATAGAAATCTTACTCGTACTCGCTAAAAATGAAACATCTAAATTTTATACCAAACGCATGATTGTTTATGTACCAGTTGAATCTTAAGGTATATTTACGAGAGGTGTCGGTAGCATTTACTTCCTCGTCAGGCTCAACATAACCATTTTCTATAAGCTGTATAAGTAGGTTCATAAAATCGTGTCTGACAACATTGTGAGTTTGTCTGTACTGCACAGTATCCCGAAACATATTAATAAAAAACTTTGAGGTACCTCTATCAATAAAAGGAATGGAAAAGAATTCGGCAAGTTCAGGTACAAACGCAAAAATCGCATTCCAAAAAGAACTCATTTCAAAGAATTTTCTTCCCCAATGCCGAACTTCATTATCCGGTTTTTCCATGCAGTTCGATTTGATTCCGAAAGCAGCTGACATAATTGTGTCAGTTGTATATCTATTGCACACGAAGTCATGATTAAATTATTATACAAACGTACGTCGTCTATACTAAAAAAATATTTTAATATTTAGAGTTTATACAGGGTGTTTAGTAAACCGGAACACCGCTCGTAGGCAAAAGAGATTATTTTAAATAAAACAATTTTATATTATTTTAAGAGACTCGCAATAATTAACGAGATGTTATTTACTAAAGATCTGCGAATGATCGTGTATCTACGTGCGTAATGACAGCTCAATCTTTTGCGCGCTTACGTCGTAGCAACAAAATGGGAAGAGGTACTACAAACAGCGTATAATATAAAAATAAATAATTATCATATTATTATCTAAACATAAAAGTATGGACCGTATGTTTTTCATCGAAATAAAACTCTACTGTCTATCTAAGTCTACTGTCAAAATGTGTCAAAACTGAGTTTGTTTTTATTTAATTGCTTATTTCCGAAAAGAACACTATAAAACAAGAAGAAAACTTATAAATTACATATGTATATTATGTATATTCTGCTGTTTATATTAGCTTCTTCTATTCTGTTGTTACGGCATGAGCGCGCCAAACACTGACAATGAGCTGTCAATAAGCACGTAGGTGCACGCTCATTCGTAGATTTTTATTATTTAACATCTCGTTAATTTTTGCGAATTGTGCAAGATGCTATAAGACTTTTTAAATCAAAATAACTCTTTCTATCTGCCTACGAGCGGTGTTCCAGCAATTACCGGATACCCTATATATTTATTATATAAAAATGCTATAGTTTCTCTTCGAAATAGATAAGACTTTTTTTAAAACAGTCTCTCTTTTTCTATTTCTTTTTTAATTTTTAAAAAAACATTAATTATCTATTCAATCAATAATTGGTTTTGAAAGCCTTACCTTGCAAATATTTCTTTTACTTCGATGCATGTTTCCGTTTTGGCTACTTTTTCTAAAGATGTCGCGAGTTCTTCGCCGCAATCTTTCAGGACTCCAAACATTTGCTTGAGTTTTCCCGAAGTAAATGTAGGTGTCATCTTGACACGTAAATTTCTCCATTTTTTTCCGGGCAATAAAAACAACGTGCCGGATAACGGATCCGTTTTTTCGTTACAGTACCAGCCGCGATCGTGGAAACTGCCAAATTCTTTGGTCAGCACTGTTCGAACAAGATCGAGATCGGCAATCACAAGGTTCGGCTTGAAAAATGTATACATTCCGAAAGCTCGATGGTCCTTATATTTCAAGTAAGCGTTGCTAAAGAATTCACCTAATAATTGTAAGAAATTCTACAATTACATTGTATACGAAGTATACATTCATTTAAAAAAGAACTAAAAATATACATCGTAAAATAATACACTTTACTATATTACAAGAAACTTTTTCTTAAGCCAAATATATTTACAGTGATTAAAACAATTAATTTACATTAAAGGAATATTCTGTTATTTATTTTGCTGTTTGTACCACGTAAAAGAGATAGCTGTAACTTTACACATTAAACATTATACTTTTATATACATGTCACAGGCTTTTAAAATTCAGAATACAAATAGATAATTTTGAAGTACTTCTTGACTAAGAACTATAAATCAAAAAACNAAAAAAAAAAAAAAAAAAAANAACTATAAATGCGTCTTGGTGACACGAATTTGTTTCTCGATGTATACATAATTTATTTGTCGTATAGAAACGTCGTATAGAAACGCTAATTTAGAATTAGCAAAACAGTAGTTTTTAAATTTATGACATTAGATTTATGATTTCTTTGAAGGTTACAAACAAATAGGAGTTTATACAAGTTTCTTTATTTTAGCTGATATTAAATTATATGAATACAAAATAACACTTGCCTACTGATACTTTCCCAATCACTAAAGAAGCCACGTTGCCAACTGGTACAACAGGTTCGATATAAAATACACCTTTCTTGCGCCAGAAAGTAAACACCACAAACTTATAATACATATATACAGAACACAGAGCAACGACAAGAGCAGTTATTAACCCTACAAGTAACATTTTGCCTTTTTTTCCGTAATGATAGCTAAACAAAATATATCTAACTTATCTGTTTGTATTTGTTATATTTTTCGACAATTGTTAGAATATGATATGAATGTTTCGTCAATGGTCAAAACAAGTTGATGTTACTTGTTCGGTTCAAGACTACTGAAGTATAAAGATGTCGTGTAGATACTGAAGTATACTGTCGAGAAAGTTACTTTATAGATGTGATCTTATCTATTTTTCAGTCATTATCTGATTATAAAAAGATAACAAACAATTTATTTATATTACATAATGCTTGTTATTTACCTTGAACTTTAAAAAGTTATATTTTTATAAAAGTAAGTGTAAACGTATCTGGACGATGAAATTTGAAGATAAGTAGAATGTTTTCTATTAAAAATATGTGAAGAAAGAGAAAAACTTGCTACTTGGCAAATAAAACACTTTGTAGTTCATATTAGTACTATTTAAGTCATTGAAATAACATAAAGTATTATTACATATTAAGTAGATATGTTCAATATGATAATAAAACTAAGTTTCACGTTACATCTCATGTTCACATAGAAAATTAATAAACGTAACTATGTAACGTATTAAAAAAGTCTGAGAAAGTGCTAGAACATAAAATTTTTACAAAACAAATAAAACAATACCCAATTAATTTTTAATCGACAACAAACTTTAAAGTACAACACAGATAAAAAGAAAAAAAAGGAAATAGAAAAACGTAAGTATAACAGTTAAAACTAAATAAATAGTGTTTTGTGTAATATTGTAGTGTGTCAAACTAATATTATACTACTATTTTTTATTTCACAAGAATATTTTCATGCAAATAAAGAAACAATACATTTATTGTATAACAAACAGCAACATAACAAGTACATAAAATAAGTGGAAAAAAAATGCGTATACACAATATAGAATTACGTTTTTTTTCCTTTTCAAAAAACCGATTTATTGCGGCACAAATTGTAAAAAGGCACTTCGCGACATAAAGTGAGAGTACCTACTTCATATGATTATCGTTACGTCAATACTAACGATAAGAGATAAAACATATAGAATGATACTGCAAGTATATATCTTCATTATATCACCATTGGTATTACTCTACTGTTTATTTTTTGTCTTTAATTTGTTTGCAGGATGATCGCGATATTGTAATTCTTTGTTACAGAAATGACGTACGTAGTTTGAACGCGGCTGTAGGCAGCTCGAACTGTTATAGCGGTTCAATTATAAGATGTACACCGCCTTTGGGCGTACATAATACAGATGCTCCGTCGATGATGAGTGGCACCGACGTCTTTGGATGAAGTTTAAATTTGAAGTTCAATAAGATATTTATAACACCAACTTTTGTCTGCATATAGCCAAATCGTTGACCTGAAAATTTAATAAGAAACTTTTTATTATTACCTCAAATCATATTTACCAAATGTTATAGATATATATAATTTAATAAGCTCGAAAAATATGATTATTATAAAAACAAATTAAGAAGTATTTAATTATTTTTCGAGTTGAGCCTTACCGATACACGTTCGTGGCCCTTCTCCAAATGGTAAGTAAGCGTACGGATGCCTCGCCGCTATTTGATCCTTGTTGAATCGCTCGGGATCAAACTTATCTGGATTCGGATATATGGCCGGATCTCTATGTATTCCGAACACTGATATACTCATTAAAGTTCCTTCCGGTATGTGAATATCCGTTGTTGGAAAGTTTATAGCTTTGGTACAGACGCGATTCACAATTGGCACAGGTGGATATTTTCTCAGAGTTTCTGCACAACACGTAAAACAGTAAAAAAAACTGTACTCGCCAACACATTTATTTAACGAACTTATACTTTATAAAAAAAACAACATTACCAGATACTACTTTATGCAGATAGGTCATATCGTTTACAGCATTGTAAGTCACTTCGCCGTGTTTTTTCAGGACTTCATCAATTTCTTGACGAAGCTTGTTTTGTACGTCTTGATTTATTGCTAATTCGTACAAACAGAACGTCGCCGCAGTTGAGGCAGTTTCAAAGCCGCCTATGATGAAGGCGTATGCTTGCGCTGCCGCTTCCAGGATAGATATCTTGCTCGTATTCGCTAGAAATAAAACATCTCACTTTTTTATTTGTTGCATAAGTGCATTCCTTCAATGGTATTAAACATTGTATTATATTTACAAACACTATCGGAAGTGTCTTCTTCGTCAGGCGCCATATAACCTTTTTCCATAAGCTGCATAAGTAGATTCATAAAATCATGTCTGACAATATTGTGAGTTAGTCTGTATTGCACGGTATTCTGAAATACTTTTATAAAAAAGTCTGAGGTATTCCGATTAAGGAAAGGAATAGCAAAAAAATTGGGAATTTGAGGCACAAACGCAAAGAGTGCGATCCAAAAGTTATGAGTTTCAAATAATTTTTTTGCTTGGTATAGAAATTCACTGTCCGGCGTTGTCATACACTTGGACTTGATTCCAAAAGCAGCAGACATAATTACGTCTGTGGTATATCTGTTGAGTACAAAATATTAGTGTATTGAACATGTACATAGTTTATATAATATATATTCAACAATTGGCAGTTAACATTTATATATTATTTATATAACATTTTTTCAGTGTTTTATACGTAATTAGTGAAAAATGTATTAAAACCTTTTTTCTTTTTTTTCTTCTTTTAAGAATGAGTATACCTTGCAAATATTTCTCTTATATCGATGCAGTCTTCTGTTTCGGTTATTTTTTTTAACGAGATCGCGAGTTCTTCGCCGTTTTTTTTCAAAACTCCAAACATTTGCTTGAGGTTTCCCGAAGTAAATGTAGTTGTGAGTTTGGCGCGTAAATTTCTCCATTTTCTTCCAGGCAATAAAAACAAGTTGCCGGATAATGGTTCCACTTTTTCGTTACTGTAAAAGCCTCGATCATGAAAACTAGCAAATTCTTTTGTCAGCACTATTCGGACAAGATCGAGATCGGCAATCACAAGGTTCGGCTTGAAAAATATATACGTTCCGATAGCGCGATGGTTTTTATATTTCAAGTAAATATCGTGAAATAGTTCGCCTGTGAATAATTTTCCAAAATTAAATTTTGTAAATGAACGTTTTTTTACAATGAGTTTAAGGAGTTACACATTGAAAAAATAAGAGTTATGGAATCAAAGCATATTCCATATGTTTTTATATCATAAATATACACATCACTAGATATTATATTATCTTTAGGGTAATATCTAGTTGTTTGTAATAAAATTAAAACTACACAGCTAAATGTAATTTTGTAAAAAAAAAATAATACTAAAAGGTGAACGCTTAGTGAAAAATTGTAAACTAATTCGAATTTAAAGGTGTCATATAGTTGTTTTTATATGAAAAGTACTTGCCTAGTGATATTTTTCCAATTAATAACGATGTCACATTACCAGTTGGTACAACGGGATCGATGTAAAATACACCTTTTTTGCGCCAGAAAGTAAATACCACAAATTTGAAATAACTATATAGAAAACACAGTGCAACAACAAAAGCAGTTATTAATCCTATAAGAAACATTTTGTCCTTTTTTCTCTTAAATAAATTTCAAACAAAAGAAACTTATATAAAAATTTATGTGTGTTTTAGCGTTATATTTGTGCGAAAACAATAAGTGTCACAAAATTAACTGTAGCAGTAATCCGTCAAAGCATAGAAATATTGTTCGACAAATCTTGAAGACTGACTGCGTAAAACTGAAGCTAAAGAAGATCGAAAATGTTATATATATGTCACATTATTAATGCACATATACGTATGCATCATTATCTGAGTAGATGTTATCAGTTTATGCATAATTAATTACATTGAATACTTGATAGATTTACTAAAAAAAATAATTACGGAAAAAACAAGAGCATTTTTATTCTGTTATGTAAATGATAATTTATCGGTTTAAAATGATATGTCGAGTGTATGTTATAATTTTGTTATTTCTGCACTTTTTATCTGTTTGTATAATTTTTTGTTTTCCTTTTCAATTTAAGTTTTACGATGTTCTTTCTTATTGTACACTTCAATCTTTCACATTTTTGTTTATACCGAAAAAATTTGTGACACATTGGACAAAGAATTTCAAAAATGAATTCCAATTTTCTTATTCACCTTACGAGAAACAATACAAACTTATCAGGTGTGACAAAACAATCTATGATTTTTATAATCACAACAAAGTGCTAGAAACTTTTTTTTTATATTACTTAATTATGATCATTTTTAGAAGAATACGAACATGTATAATACGCGTTATCTTGCAATAAAAAAGTAATAGGCGGAATTATATAACGTAGTATCGAAGGTTAACAAAACGCTGCAACTAAGATTAAATGTTTACTTGATAGAATTGAAAAATGTAAAAATAAAATAAGTAAAAATTTTAGTTTATTTAAACAAGCCGTACGTTTGAAAAAAAAACAAATGAGAAAACTACACATCACTAATGAAGAAGTATTTTTCATAATAATAATTATTGTTTTCTTAAAATAGTATATTTCATATTAATACCGTTGTTTTTGAATGATTATTTCATGTGTTCTTATTTTATAAGAGAAGTAATTGTAATAAATAATCGGCAACAATATATATATATATATATAACTTTATTATAGCACGTTGACAAAATGACAAGTAATCAAGGTAATTCGATTAAGAGATGATGTTTAGACAAGAAAAATTGTATTATACATTTTGTATAAAAATCAGTTTATTACTTTGCAAAATGTAAATAGACAATTAGCAACATAAATCTCGTAAATTGCATTCAATAACGAACAATTTTATTTTAGCACTACAAATTAAAATTATTTTACTTACTTTGAAACTATTTAGATTGATATATTTATATTTAGTTTTGCGTAACATTGTAGTCGTATGCACAATGCGACATTGATAATAAAAGTAATAGAAGTGACTACGCAATTAAGGATGTTTCTATGTACATTTGTAGCAAAAAGTTGCTGAAATTCGATTATTGACGAATATACGCTTTTCTTATGTAGTGTAAGTAATAAAAATTACGCAGAATGTTATAGGTATCCATAATTAAAGTGCAGAAATGTAAGTTTTTATTCTGTATTTATTTTTTGTAGTTTTGTAGTGTTTTTTAAGTTTAAATACTAACAGTGCAATATTGCCACGCGTTTTCACAGAGAAAATTACGCATCATTTAGATAACAAGAAAACTTATATTTATTATCTTATAACCTATCTAGCATCTGGCCAAATTATTTAATCAAATATTTCTTCTATATCTAATTTTATTTTGTTCAAAGTTTAAACTAATTCCTATCAATTTTTCTATTTATTCTAGTCACTTGAATTATTGTTGGAAGGTCTAAGGCTCTGATGCAGATGCGATTGCCACAGATAGATATTTTCTCAGAGGTTTTGCACAACGAGTAAAGTAGCATAAAAATTGTAGTTTGCAATTATTAGCAAACACGTGTATGTAAAGACGTACAATTAAAAGTATCAAAAACACTATAATTACCAGATACTTCTTCATGAAGATACGTCATGTCGTTTACAACGTTGTAAGGGACTTCGCCGTGTTTTTTCAAGACTTCATCACTTTCTTGCTGAAGCTTATTTTGCATATCCTGATTTAGCGCTAATTGCTACAAACAGTATGTCGCCGTAGTTGAAGAAGTTTCGAAGCCAGCAACAAAGAAAACGAAAGCTAGCGCAGTCGCGTCTAACATAGAAATTGTATTCGTAGCCGCTGTCAATAAAAAAAACGAAACAATTATGTATGCAATCAGCGCGTAATTGCATGCTTTATATTAAATGTTATAATATATTTACAAGGCGCATTGACAGTATCTCCCTTTCCGTCAGGTCAAACGTCTACTTTCTCCATGAATGGTATAAGTAGAATCATAAAATCATGTCTAACAACATTGTGAGTTTGTCTGTATTGCACATTATCCCGAAACATATTTATAAAAAAATTTGAAGTACTCCGATCAAAAAAGGTATAGAAAAGAAGTCGGCAATTTGAGGTGCGAAAGCAAAAATGGCATTTTAAAGAGCACTTTAATCGAGGACTTTCCTTTCATAATATCGAAATTCATCGTCCACTTTTTTTAAACAGTTGGATTTAATTTTGAAAGCCGCTGACATAATTATATCTATTGTATATCTATTGCTCAAAACATAGCATTACACAACACATATACTGTGTTTATAATAACATTTTATAGATAATATCTAGTTATATTTTATATAACAGTTTTTCTGTTTTTTGTCAGATAAATAGATAAAAGTTCTGTAAAAACTTTGTCTTCTTGTTTAAAAAAATCAGTATACCTTGCAAATATTTCTTTTATCTTGATGCTCTATCCAGTTTCGGCTATTTTTTCTAAAGATTTCTTGAATTCTTCGCCACATTGTTTCAGAATTTCAACCATCTGTTTGAGTTTTTTCGAAGTAAATATAAGTGTCAACTTGAGGCGCAATTTTCTCCATTTTTTCTTAGACAATAAAACTAAGTAACCGGTTAATGGGTTACCTTTTTCGTTACTAAAGGCCTCAATCGTGAAAACTATGAAATTTTTTTGTCAGCACTATCCGGACAAAATCGAGATCGGCTATCACAAAGTTCGGCTTGAAAAATGTGTACGTTTCAATAACGCGATTGACCTTCTATTTCAAGGAAACGTCGCGAAATAATTTGCCTGTTAATAATTCCCGAAATTAAATAATGCCAAATATATACGTTATTTTAAAATATAATTTAAGAGACACACAATAAAAGAAAAGTTTTAAAATCAAAAACCTGTCCGAGCATATTTACAGGTACTAAAAAATACTTTAAGTTAAAAAATAGTACATTATTTCAAATTTTATAAGCTTGCTACTGTATCACATAAAACATTATAGTTTACATATTATTAGCATATTCTATATTTTTACATATCATAAGTGGTTGTTTTAGTTTAGAATGTCTACATTTTGTATAAAAACGTGAGTAATTGCAAATTTATAAAAACTTCGCGATAAATGTTTATTAAAAGATTGTAAATAATAAATAGTTTATATACATTATGTATTGTTTTTTATGAAAAAAAGTACTAGCCTACTGATATTTTTCCAATTATTAAAGATGTCACATTACCAGTTGGTACAACGGGATCGATGTAAAATACACCTTTTTTGCGCCAAAAAGTGAACACCACAAACTTGTAATAAATATATGTATACAGAACACAGAGCAACGACAAGAGCAGTTATTAACCCTACAAGTGACATTTTGCTCTTTTTTCCGTAATGATAGCTAAACAAAATATATCTATTTGTTTATATATATTAAATATATTATCTGTTTGTGTTTGATGTATTTTTCGACAATTCTTAGACTGTGATATGAATGTTTTGTTAGTGGTCAAAGCAAGTTGATGTTACTTGTTTGTTTAAAGACTAATGAAGAATAAAGATGTCGTGTAGATACTGAAGAGAGTATACTGTCGAGAAAATTAATTTATAGATGTAATCTTATCTAGATTTCAGTCATTATTTGATTATAAAAAAATACCAAACACTTTATTTATATTACATAAGGCTTTTTTTTATTTTCAACTTTAAAAGGGTATATTTTTATAAAAGTAAGTAAACGTATCTGGACGATGAAATTCGAAGATAAGTAGAATTTTCTATTAAAACTGTGTGAAGGAAAAGAAAAACTTGCTAATTGGCAAATAAAACAAATTGTAGTTCATATCAGTATTATTTATGTCAGTGAAATAACATAAAGTAATATTACATATTAAGTAGATATGTTCAATATGGTAATAAAACTAATTTTCACGTTCCATCTCATGTTCACATAGAAAATTAATAAACATACTTATGTAACGTATTAAAGAAATCTGAGGAAGTGCTAGAACATACAAACAATTTTTACAATAAAAGTAAAACAATGTAGATAAAAAAGAATACTCAAGTAATTTTTAATTAACAACAAACTTTACAGTACAACACAGATGAAGAAAAAAAAGAAGGAAATAGAAAAACGTAAGTATAACAGTTAAGACTAAATAAATAGTGTTTTATGTAAAATTGTAGTGTGTTAAAATAATATTATACTAATATTTTTTATTTCACAAGAATATTTTCATGCAAATGAAGAAACAATACATTTATTGTATAGCAAACAGCAACATAACAAGTACATAAAATAAGTGGAAAAAAATGCGTATAGACAATATAGAATTACGTTTTTTTTCCTTTTCAAAAAACCGATTTGTTGCGGCACAAATTGTAAAAAGGCACTACGCGACATAAAGTGAGAGTACCTACTTCATATGATTATCGTTACGTCAATATTAACGATAAGAGATAAAACATATAGAATGATACTGCAAGTATATATCTTCATTATATCACCATTGGTATTACTCTATTGTTTATTTTTTGTCTTTAATTTGTTTGCAGGATGATCGCGATATTGTATTTTTTAGTTACAGAAATAACGTACGTAGTTTGTACGCGGCTGTAGGCAACTCGAACTGTTATAGCGGTTCAATTATAAGATGTACACCGTCTTTGGGCGTACATATTATAGATGCTTTGTCGACGATGAGTGGCACCGAAGTCTGTGGATGAAGTTTAAGTTTGAAGTTCAATACGATATTTATAACGCCAACTTTTGTCTGCATATAGCCAAACCGTTGACCTGAAAATTTAATAAGAAACTCTTTATTATTACCTCAAATCATACTTAACAAAATGTTATAGATATATATTATTTATCAAGCTCGAAAAATATGATTATTATTATAAAAACAAATTAAAAAGTATTTAATTATTTTTTGAGTTTGTTGAGCCTTACCGATACACACTCGTGGCCCTTCTCCAAATGGTAAGTAAGCGTACGGATGCCTAGCCGCTATTTGATTTGCGTCGAATCGTTCGGGATCAAACTTATCTGGATTCGGATATATGGCAGGATCTCTCTGTATTCCGAGCACCGATATAGTAAGTAAAGTTCCTTCCGGTATATGAATATTCGTTGTTGGAAGGTCTATATCTTTGGTACAGATGCGATTCAAAATCGGCACTGGTGGATATTTTCTCATAGTTTCTGTACAACGAGTAAAGTAAGATACAAACAGTAGTCTGCAATTACTAGCAAACACGTTTATGCAAAGACGTAAAATTTTATAAATAACAAAAACAATATACTTACCAGATACTACTTTATGAAGATACGTCATATCATTTACAGCATTGTAACTCACTTCGCCGTGTATTTTCAAGATTTCTTCAATTTCTTGACGAAGCTTGTATTGTACGTCTTGATTTTTTGCTAATTCGTACAAACAGAAGGTCGCCGTAGTTGAGGACGTTTCAAAGCCGCCTAGGAAGAAGGCGTATGATTGCGCTGCCGCTTCCACGATAGACATCTTGCTCGTATTCGCTATAAATAAATATCTCAATATTTTAGTAGGTGCTAAATTGTATTTTTTATATAGTATTGAACATTGTAGCATATTTACAAGAAACATCGGCGGTGTCTCCTTTGTCAGGCGCCACGTAGCCTTTCTCTATAATTTGTATAAGTAGATTCATAAAATCATGTCTGACAACATTGTGAGTTTGTCTGTGTTGCACGGTATCCCGAAACACTTTTATAAAAAACTTTGAGATTTTTCGACCAAAGAAAGGAATAGCAAACAAATCGGGAATTTGAGGTACCAACCCAAAAAGTGCGTACCAAAAAATATGATATTCAAATACTTTTTTCCCTTGGTATAGAAATTCACTGTCTGGCGTTGTCATACAATTGGACTTGATTCCAAAAGCAGCGGACATGATTACGTCTATGGTATATCTGTTGAGTACAAAATATCTGTATAGAACATGTACATTGTTTATATAATATATTCAACAATTGGCAGATAATATTTATATATTATTTATATAACATTTCTTCAGCGTTTGATACGCAATTAGTGAAAAATGTAGTAAAAACTTTTCTCTTTTTTTTCTTTTTTTAAGAATGAGTATACCTTCCAAGAATTTCTTTTATTTCGATGCATTTTGTTGTTTTGGTTCTGTTTTTTAAAGAGATCGCGAGTTCCTCGCCGCAGTCTTTCAAAACTCCAAACATTTGCTTGAGGTTACCCGAAGTAAATGTAGGTGTCAGTTTGGTGCGCAAATTTCTCCATTTTGTCCCAGGCAATAAAAACAAGTTGCCGGATAACGGATCTACTTTTTCGTTACAGTAGTATCCACGATCATGAAAACTAGCAAATTCTTTTGTCAGCACTATTCGGACAAGATCGAGATCGGCAATCACAAGGTTCGGTTTGAAAAATGTGTACATTCCGATAGTGCGATGGTCCTTATATTTTAAGTAAGCGTCACGAAATAGTTCGGCTGTGAATAAATTCCCAAAATTATAATATATAAAGTAACGTTCTTCTAAAATGTGTTTAAGGAGTTACACATTGAAAAAATATAAGTTATGGAACCAAAGCATATTCCATATGTTTTCATATCATAATTATGCACATCACTAGATATTATTGGGTCGGTGGAAAAGTTCTGCTGATTTTTTATTAAATGACACTTGTGTCAGAATATAATTATCGCGTGTCGTTCAAATGTCAGTATTCCGTACATATTTTGACAAGTCACACTACGCTTGACATTTGGCAAAAGTGTTTGGTTTGGTCGAACGTGTTTTGCGTGTACGGCATACAACTAAAATGGAAAATCAAAAATTGCATTTTCGCTAGTTTTTGCTGTTTTTATTCCGTAAAGGATATAAAGCGGCATACGCTAAGCGCGAATTATGCGCCATGTATGGTGCCTCGGCCGTAAGCGCAGACACATGCGAAAGATGGTTTGCTCGCTTCCGTTCCGGAGAATTTAACTTTCAAGATGCACCACGCTCTGGACGGCCAAATTCTGTTGACGACGACCAACTCCTGGCTACAGTGAAAAGTGATCGACACTTAACGACTCGAGAGATTACGAAGCGCTTCGGCATTCGTCATACAACCGTTATGGAACGATTAAAAAAGCTTGGCATGGTGAAAAAGCTTGACGTATGGGTGCCGCACGAACTGAGCGAAAAGAACATCATGGATCGGATTTTAGTGTGTGAATCTCTCCTGAGACAAAACTATCTAGACCCATTTCTGAAACGGATCATCACTGGAAACGAGAAATGAGTTGTCTACAACAACATTAAGCGGCGGAAATCGTGGTGCGGTCCGGACGAGTCTTCACAAACGGTGGCAAAACCTAATTTGCATCCACAAAAAGTAATGCTATGTATTTGATGGGACTATAAAGAAGTGCTGTGGTTCGAGCTGCTCCCGCAGGGCTAAACAATAGATTCGAAGAAATACTGCGCTCAGCTCGACAAATTGCGCAAGGTAGTGCAAGAGAAGCGGTGCAAGAGAATTGTCGAATAGAAAAGATGTAATTTTCCATCATGACAACGCTCGACCACGTACTTTTTTGATCACGAAAAAAAAATTGCAGAGCTTAGGCTGAAAAATGATGCAGCACCCACCATATTCGCCGGACCTTGCACCATCTGATTATCACTTGTTTCGCTCGCTGCAAAAAAATGTTGGTCATCAATTCGACTCAATGGAGGTCATTCGAAAAATCACCTCGTTGATTTTTTTGCCCACAAGTCCCAAGGGTTTTACGAAAGCGGCATCAAGGCCTTACCGAAACGTTGGCAAACAAGTTGTAGATCAAGACGGTCAACACATTGTGGACTAAATTAATTTTTATAAATGTCGATTTTGTGTTTAAGTTTTATACTAAAAATCCGCAGAACTCTTCCACCAACCCGAAATATTATCTTTAAGATATTATCTAATTTTTTGTAATAAAAATAAAAATAAATAGCTATATGTAACTTTGTAAAAAAATAATACTAAAAAGTGAACGCTTATTGAAAGAATGTAAATTACTACTAATTTATAGGTATCATATAGTTGTGTGTTTTTATATGAAAAGTACTTGCTTGCTGATATTTTTCCAATTAATAACGATGTCACATTACCAGCTGGTACAACGGGATCGATGTAAAATACACCTTTTTTGCGCCAAAAAGTGAACACCACAAACTTGAAATAAATATATAGAGAACACAGTGCAACGACAAGAGCAGTTATTAATTCTATAAGAAACATTTTGCCACTTTTCTCTTAAAAAAATTCCAAACAAAAGAAACTTATATGAAAATGTATGTGTGTTCTAGCGTTATATTTTTGCAAAAACAATAAGTGTCACAAAATTAAACGTAGCATTAAGCCGTCAGAGCATAGAAATACTGTTCGACAAATCTTGAAGACTGACTGCGTAAAACTGAAGCTAAAGAAGATCGAAAATGTTACATATATGGTACATTATTAATGCACATATATTTATGCTTTTTTTTGAGAATAGATGTTTTCAGTTTATGCATAATACATTCCATTTGATACTCTATAGTGAAAAAATAATTACGGAAAAAACAAGCGTTTTTATTCTGTTATGTAAATGATACTTTATCGTTTCAAAATGACATGTCGAATGTATGGTATAATTTTGTTATTTTTGCAATTTTTATCTATTTTTTATTTTTTTTGTTTCTTTTTCAATTTAATGTTTACGATGTTCTTTCTTATTGTACACTTTAATCTTTCACATTTTCGTTTAAACCGAAAAAACTTGTGGCACATTGGACAAAAAATTTCAAACATAAATTCCATGTTTCTTATTCACCTTAAGAGAAACAATACAAACTTATCAGGTGTGACAAGACAATCTATGATTTATAATCACAATAAAGTGCTAGAAACTTTTTTTCTATATTAATTAATTATGATCATTATTAGAAGAATAGAACATTTATAATACGCGTTATCTTGCATTAGAATAGTAATATGCGGAATTATATAACGTAGTAAAAAAGCTTAAAAATGCGCTGCAATTAAGTTTAAATGTTTATACTAAAATGAAACAATGTAGAGATAAAATAAATGAAAAATTAAGTTTTTATAAACAAAACTTTTGAAGAAAAAAGAAATGAGAAAACACATCACTTATGACGAAGTATATTTCATAGTATTAATTAATGATTTCTTGAAATACTATATTTTTTATTAGTCCCAAAGTTTTTGAATGATTATTTCACGTGTTTTTATTTTATAAGAGAAGTAATTGTAATAAATAATTGGCAACAATATATATAACTTTATTATAGCACGTTGACAAAATGACAAGTAATCAAGGTAATTCGATTAAGAGATAATGTTTTGGCAAGACAAATCTTATTATACATTTGGTATAACAATCAATTTATTACTTCGCAAAATGTAAATAGACAATTGTCTGGGATCGAACTTGTCCGGATCCGGATATATTGCCGGATCTCGCTGTATGCCACCAGTATAGTAATTAAAGTTTTTTCCGGTATATGACTATTTATTGTTGGAAGGTCTAAGGCTTTGGTGCAGATGTGATTCAGCATTGGCACAATTGGATATTTTCTCAAAGTTTTTGCACAACGAATAAAGTAGCATAAAAATTGTAGGCTGCAATTACTACCGTACTCGATTACGTAAAGACATAAAATTGCAGATGCGATTTAGCATTGCTACAGATGGATATTTTCTCAGAGTTTTTGCACAACGAGTAAAGTAGCATAAAAGCTGTAGTCTGCAATTACTAGTAAACACGTTTATGTTAAGGAAAAATAAAATTAACAAAAACACTATAATTACCAGATACTACTTCATGAAAATACGTCATATCGTTTATAGCGCGTTGTAAGGCACTTCGCCGTGTTTTTTCAAGATTTCGTCAATTTCATTTTTTGACGAAGCTTATTTTGCATATCCTGATTTAGCGCTAATTGGTACAAACAGTATGTCGCAGTAGTTAAAGAAGTTTCGGAGCCAGCAACAAAAAAAACGAAAGCTTGCGCAGTCGCTTCTAACACAGAAATTATATTCGTAGCTGCCCGAGTCGAAATTTAGCGTCTACATTGAACCTGAATTTTTTTTTTGAGGTAGAAGTAAGAGAGTCAAAATAGACGTTATCGAATGCAAAATATATGTACATAATAGCTGCTACTTTGACGCTACAATACGTCTGAAATTTCCTTTTTTCCTGCTACCAGCATTAAAATAGGGTTTAATTAAAACCTTCCTTAGCGCTCTAGACCCTGAAAATATATAGATTCTTGCCGATGTAATACAGATCCAGTTTTTGATCAGTACGTAATTGTTGATCAGTTTGTTCAAAAATTATTATAGTAAGGTTTTGGTCATAAAAATTAATCCAAAAGGAGGTATGTAGATGTCAAAATAATTAATTATTATGCCAAAATGTTTTTCGGACTAATTTTTATGATCAAAACCGTACTATAATACTTTTTTAACAACTGATCAAAAATTAGGTACTAATCAAAAATTGGATATGTGACGGAATAGATGAACGATTCGAACGGATGTTATGCACAAAATAAATACATTTCAATGAAAATGCTTTATACTCTTTGACTTTATTGATTCAAATCAAACTTACAGAGTTGTTAATGTATATCTATTATCTTCCTGGTTTTGAAAGATATCCGTGGATACTGAAAAATAAAATTTGTTTTAAACAATCAATTGTATATATTATCATTATATATATATATATATATTATATTATATTTTTTAAGTTTTTTTACCTGTCTGTAACATATTCATATTATTAAAGTATTCTGGCGTTGCGTTTTGATTTTCTTCTTCATTTGCTTGTTTTTTTTCAGATATGATCATTGCGTTTTTTCTGTAGATATTTTTTTTCTGTCGATTTTTTCAGTAGATATTTTCGTTTATTTGATGACAATGTATTAATGTAATCGATTAGCATCTTAGTCGAAACGCACTTTGATGATTTCTCATTTACCCATTCTATAAAAAAACCAATATAATATATTGGTATAATAAATAATAAATTTATAAATAATAATAAAATTAACTTACCTCACATGATCAGGTGACACTAAGTAGATAAAAGTTCTGTAGTAAAAACTCTGTCTTCTTGTTTAAAAAAATCAGTGTACCTTGCAAATATTTCTTTTATCTCGATGCTCTCTCCGGTCTCAACTATTTTTTCTAAAAATTTTTTCGCAGCATTTTTCCAGAATTCCAAACATCTATTTGAGTTTTTTTGAAGTAATTGTAAGTGTCACCTTGACGCGCAAATTTCTCCATTTTTTCCCAGGCAATATAAAATAAGTGACCGGATAATGAGTCACCTTTTTCGTTACTGTAAAAGTTTCGATCATGAAAACTATCAAATTCTTTTGTCAGCACTATTCGGACAAGTTCGAGATCGGCAATCACAAAGTTTGGCTTGAAAAATATGTACGTTCCGATAGCGCGATGGTCTTTATATTTTAAGGAAACGTCGCGAAATAGTTCGCCTGTTAATAATTTCCAAAATTAAATAATGCCAATTATATACGTTATTAAAAAATATTAGTTAAGAGACATATAATAAAAGAAAAGGTTTCGAATCAAAAACCTGTCCGAGCATATTTACAGTTACTAAAGAAGTACTTTAATTTTAAAAAGTATTCTATTATTTCAACTCTTTCAAGCTTGCTACTGTATCACATAAAACATTATAGTTTACATATTACTAGCATAATCCATAATTTTACATATTATAAATGGATGTTTTAGTTTAGAATGTCTACATATTGTATAAAAACGTGACTAATTGCAAATTTTTATAAAATTTGTTATAAATGTTTATTAAAAGATTTGAAATTACGAATAGTTTATATACATTATGTATTTTTTTATGAAAAAAAGTACTTTCCTACTGATGTTTTTCCAATTATTAAAGATGTCACATTCCCAGCTGGTACAACGGGATCGATGTAAAATACACCTTTTTTGCGCCAAAAAGAAAACTTGTAATAAATATATACAGAACACAGAGCAACGACAAGAGCAGTTATTAAGCCTACAAGTAACAATTAGCTCTGTTTTTCGTAATGATAGCTAAACAAATCATATCTAAATTATCTGTTTGTGTTTGGTATATTTTTCGACAATTGTTAACCTATGATATGAATGTTTCATCAGTGGTCAAAGCAAGTTGATGTTACTTGTTTATTTAAGGACTATTGAAGAATAAAGATGTGTGTGTGTGTCGTGTAAATACTGAAGTATACTGTCGAGAAAGTTAATTTATAGATGTAATCTTATCTATTTTTCAGTCATTATCTGATTATAAAAATATAACAAAAAATTTATTTATCTTACATAATGCTTTTTCTTTACTTACAACTTTGAAAGGTTATATTTTTATAAAAGTAAGTAAACGTATCTGAACGATGAAATTCGAAGATAAGTAAAATTTTCTATTAAAAATGTGTGAAGAAAGAGAAAAACTTGCTAATTGGCAAATAAAACAAATTGTAGGTCATATCAGTATTATTTATGTGAGTGAAATGACATAAAGCAATATTACATATTAAGTAGATATGTTCAATATTATAATAAAACTAAGTTTCACGTTACATCTCATGTTCACATAAAAAATTAATAAACGTACCTATGTAACGTATTAAAGAAATCTGAGGAAGTGCTAGAACATACAAACAATTTTTACAATAAAAGTAAACCATTGTAGACATAAAAGAATACACAAGTAATTTTTATTCGACAACAAACTTTAAAGTACAACACAGATAAATAGAAAAAAGAAGGAAATAGAAAAACGTAAGTTTAACAGTTAAGACTAAATAAATAGTGTTTTGTGTAATATTGTAGTGTGTCAAACTAATATTATACTACTATTTTTTATTTCACAAGAATATTTTCATGCAAATGAAGAAACAATACATTTATTGTATAGCAACATAACAAGTATATAGTAAGTGGAGAAAAACAGCGTATAAACAATGTAGAATTCTCTTTTTTTTTCCTTTTCAAAAGACCGATTTATTGCGTCACAAACTGTAAAAAAGCGTTTAACGACATATCTTGAGAGCACTTCGTATTATTATCGTCACGTCAATACCAAGGATAACAGATAAAACTTATACGATGATTCTGCAAGTATTGTATATATCTTTATTATATCAATATTGGTATTACGTTATTGTATATTCTTTGTCTTTAATTTGTTTGCAGGATGATCGCGATATTGTAATTCTTTGTTACAGAAATGACGTACGTAGTTTGAACGCGGCTGTAGGCAGCTCGAACTGTTATAGCGGTTCAATTATAAGATGTACACCGCCTTTGGGCGTACATAATACAGATGCTCCGTCGATGATGAGTGGCACCGAAGTCTTTGGATGAAGTTTAAGTTTGAAGTTTAATAAGATATTTATAACACCAACTTTTGTCTGCATATAGCCAAACCGTTGACCTGAAAATGTAATAAGAAATTCTTTATTATTACCTCAAATCATATTTAACAAACTGTTATAGATATATATAATTTAATAAGCTCGAAAAATATGATTATTTTATAAAAACAATTTAAAAAATAATTATTTTTTTAGTTTGTTGAGCCTTACCGATACACACTCGTGGCCCTCCTCCAAATGGTAAGTAAGCGTACGGATGCCTCGCCGCTATTTGATCCTTGTTGAATCGCTCGGGATCAAACTTATCTGGATTCGGATATATGGCCGGATCTCTATGTATTCCGAACACCGATATACTCATTAAAGTTCCTTCCGGTATGTGAATATCCGTTGTTGGAAAGTTTATAGCTTTGGTACAGACGCGATTCAGAATCGGCACAGGTGGATATTTTCTCAGAGTTTCTGCACAACACGTAAAACAGTAAAAAAAA